TATTTTATACCCAAAATCTAAAAAACAAAAAACCTACGCGGTTTTTCGTTAACTCAACGAAATCGTTGACCTCATCATCATTCACATTTCTCATCACCACCGTATTTATCTGTAAGCTGTAAGTTGTACTCATTCACTATAGGACCAGTAAAGTAACGAACTTTCACAATAGGGAACAATGTTTCTGCAAGTTCGATGCATTTCATGACTTTTGTGAATCCATTCCTTCTGGTCAGTAAGAGGAACTTGTGTTGGTCTAATGTATCCAAGCTGATATTAACCTTAAACGTAAAATATTAAAATCTATGGTATATGAAGGAAAGAAGCAACCTTTGTGACGCCAGCTTCTTGCAGTTGACGTAGTTTCTTTGCTAGTACTATACCATTGGAGGTTAACGCAATATCCTTAATTCCGGGGACATTCTTTATCCTTGCTTAACCATCAACTTTAAAATGCTAATCCCAAGTACATATGTTTAAATACAGACCTACAATCTCGATTATATCCTCCCTTATAGTTGGTTCTCCTCCTGTCAACCGGATTTTGTCAACACCATGCTTAGCGAATATAGCAACAAGTCGGACGATTTCATCTGACTGGAGTAGATTTTTTGATGGAGAGAGTGCCACCCCCTCTTCTGGCATGCAATAAAGGCCTAAATTTTGGCACCATGTTTTAACAAATGCGAAACTTCACAGGAGTAAACAAGTTTGTCTCACTGCAAAAAAAAAAGTAGCAGAACATTTGCGAACTATTTTTAAAAATCATTCAATAGCGAAAAGATTGTGATACTGCAAACGGAAAACAACATGATGCTAGTGTTGTCAGGTGGTGGTCACACCAGTGAGGCTATTATTCCCGTTATATTCAGAAGCAACAATATCTGAACTGTTATGAGAAATATGGAAAGAGACACACATCTAAGATTGCATTTTTCGGTAAGTGATATTCGGAGATAGTTGTGAGCACGTCCATGCGTATCAGTGAAGGGTAACTTTGCTTGCCCTTTTTCTTCTTCAATCTAAATCAGATAGCTAAAATAGCTATACGAATAATAATTTATCAAATGTTTACAACTCTATAAGCGATAAATAAATACATTTATGTAGTTATTACGGGATAACAACGCGAAGCAAGAGATTGCCATGCTGATATATGTTCAAGTAAAAAAAAGATATCAAAAAGCAGTTTAGCGAG